AAGACCTATTCTTGCAGCAAAGTAGAGATGTATATATAATAATATAATAATTTATTGTTATTATATCTATCTCCTGTAAATATATAATATAAACGCCAGTTTTTAGCTAGAGAATTATGATTGATCGGCCCAAGGTCACTTGGCTATGGCATCAATCCTATAAGGTTGCCAGATTTATGTATCCGCACTTAGTAATGGTACTGAATGTGTATTATAATAGTAAAAACAGAAACGTTTATCCAAAAAATGACTGGCGGTAGGGTTATGTACTACGAATTGGCAGAAGTTAGGGGAAACTGTTGAGTGTCATCACTCTGTAGACAGGCCGTCAAGTGGAAGAAGAATGGGAAAAGATGAGTTGGGTTTCCAAGCATCACGTGAAAAAGATCGTGTGAAGAGGAGAAAAGAGCTCATCGGCGATCGCAGAGCTAGCTAAAGATGAATTTTAGAGAACAGAATGAAATGGAGATGAGTGTTTGATTCCCTATGCCTCAGTCGGAGTCCAAGGGAATAATAATAAATGAGTTTATGGATTCCATGTTATCCCAGTTGTTCAATCACAAACGAACTTGCCTTACAGTCTGAAGGTCATGGACGTGTACTGCTGAGAGGTCTCAAACTAGGATGAGATAGCTGTCTAACACTCCATGGTTTCTCAATTCTTCTGTAACTGAAATCTGTTCATGATCAACTTGGAAAATGTTATCTTTCTTATTTTACTCTCATCAACATAAAATGATAAGCCATGTTGATATATATCAATATAATATGTGTGTTTGTTTGACAGTCTGTCCTTGGTGATATATATCCATATAATATGTGTGTTTGTTTGACAGTCTATATTTGCTATGTATATATGGATCGATATTCCATTATAATTAGCCAATCATGTTAAGACTGTCTATTGATTTGTTCATTTTGAATATTCGTTCACACACTTGCTCGGACATTTATATTTTTGCTCTCACACACTTGTGTGACATATTGATTCTCCTGGTGTTTTGGAAAATAGAGGTATCATCGCAAACCTAGTGGTCTTCTGATTTCCGTCTTTCTTGCGTCAGGACTATTAAATTCTCGACCAGTACATAAAAATAATGTGGCGACGAGTGCATAACACATGTCAACAGAATATCAACTCCTTCAAGTCAGAGAAGTACTGTTTCAACGTAATATCACTGAAAATGATCTATTATAAATGGACATAGTGATGGATATTATGTCTTCATTTTTATGTTTTCATTCGTGCACCTGTGGTGTATACTACTTATAATTGCATTTAAGTAGTATACTGAGTAACATTTTCCAATAAACGATGATAATTTGTGTGTATCAATGAATAAGTCAATGAAGAAGTGATGTGCGAATAAGGTAGTAACCATGAAGGGGATCAAGTGGGAAATAGAGACGGAGGATATTATAATTATTTTTTTATCATAATAATAATTATAATTATTACTAATAGTAGTAGTGTAACAACAGAAGGCAAGTCACAGAAGCCAAGGTATATTTTTCATTGATCAAACTGCTGTTTATATATCTACTGCTTATTTTCGTTAACCAATCACTGAGCGTGTGATTTCGGTTGACATTAAACGACATGAAATAGAATGTTCAGATACATATATATTGTACTCTGTTGCTAATGCTGTATTGAACTGTGGGAATAATATTCATTAGGAACGCATTGTCTGTATCACACCACCATACTCGTCTCCTAGTCGAAAACTTTCGACTGAAGTCGGTTGGATCTTCTTGGTGCTGGTGGCCTTGTCTTGCTCTATTGAGTTTCGGAGCTCGCTGACGTTCACACGCTTCTCTTTGCATTTCTGATCATATGTATGTGACCCCATCTCACGGTGACGATGTATGATCCTTCCCACTTTAGGAGCAGTTCGCATGACCCTGGCTTGTATTCCTCGGTTTTTCGCCTCATACTATCATATGCTGCCTTCGCTCGACCTCTCAGCAGAGTTTCAAGTAACAGCCTTATCACGGACGGATCTTGAACACCACTCAACTGCGCAACAGCCTCGAAGTCCTGCCCGAAGATCCATATGTCTCCATCAAAAACTGCAGGGCATAGACTTTCCATTTGTCGGCAGGCAGCGACACCAGATTTAACAACAGAAGGCGAGACACGGAAGCCAAGGTATATTTTTCATTGATCAAACCACTTTTTATGTATCTACAGTTTTATATTCTTTCACCAATCACTGAGCTTGTGATTTTGGTTAACATCAAACGACATGAAATAGAATGTTCAAATACATATATTGTACTCTGTTGCTATTACAGTACTGAACTGTGGGAATATGTGAGAATAATATTCCATTGGAACACATTGTTTGTATCACACCACCACAGTAGTATTTAGAAATCGTGTGACTGGTACCTTTGTACCTTGAATTAGTTAAATACTGTAAAAAATGTATTTACGTTTGTCAACAGCACTACAGATTTGAACTGATATTAAATAAAAGCATGTTAAATTTAGACATTATATCAGTGTTCATCAGAACTCCACTTGTGGAAATGGTCAAATGAATGTGTAAAATTTATGAAACATAAATAAACATTGAGATTACGCCTAAGAGATAAAAAGAATTGCTGATAAAGTGTACAATAATTGCACATTTTATATTTAACAAATAATTTTACCCATAAAAAGAAATTGTCTGAGGATTAGTTCTCTTCTTAGTCCCTTTTTTGGAGAAATGTTCTTGGTGGAATTGTAAAGTAGTCATCTAAGTTAGTCGGTCAGTAAATAAATTTAAATGTTATTGTCATTATTTAGGCTATAAGTTAACTGTTTATGACAAGAGACTTGGTGGCACAGAGGTTAGGAGTCTTGCCGACCATTCACATGGTCCGGGGTTCAATCTCCTGCCGACGCACACCTGGTTGGCCTTCTAAATTTGGGCTAACGATATCACATTCTGAAAATTTCATACTTGTACCAAAAATACTTTGTGGAATCAAGCTATAATAAAAAAAATTTAAACAAAATCTACTTCATTCAGCTAATAGTTTTATTTCATAAAATATGGTTGATGCTTTCATATAACTTAAGAAGAAATAAACAATCTGAATAGCATGGTGTTATTTGGTGGATGGTGACTAGTAGTGGAATCCAGCATGAACATTTCTTCTTGTTTATCACCCATCAGCTAGATATATCCGCAATCCCCAGTGAGTGACAGTTTTCGCACAGAAACTCAAACCAACCAATCATCGTTTCAAACTCAAAAGTACAATCCACTAGATCACCTGGGCCGCGATAGCCAACTTTTGTGTAATATGTATCAGTTATTATTTGTTTTTTTAAGTTAATCAACCAAACAGGAGAACAAAATTGGCTAAAACGCGTCTGAAAAGTACTCTGTTTTAGGATGAACATCCTAAGGAATTAGTCAGTCGAATGGAATAGCTTGGGGCATGGTGAGTAAGAAACAGGTTATTTTTTGAGTGTAGTTCAAAGGTGACATATCTGGCGATATATTCGGCCACAGTTTGAGTAAATCTTTTGAAAACGTCTAAGATGCAGCTGAACCTATTTTGACGGTGCCCAAAAATTAAGGTTCAGGTAATGGCAACATCAGTGAGTGTATATTCAAGTTTAACTGCTTCTAAAGAGCTTATCATGTAGACCGTACTCTCAGGAATCCATCCATATGTACCAGTAAACATATTACAGTTTGGTTTTGAAAAGGAGTAATTAACTCGACAAATAGCTTCATCTAGTCCCGTTCGGTGGGCAGTGAACACCACATGAAAAGGGAAACATTTGAGGTCATACATTGAAAGACCAGCCACCTATTTCAAGATACACTACAACATCTGTGTCTAAGGGAATCAATGAGAATAAGCCTAACCTTCCTTTCAAATAAAGACTAGATTCTACCACACAGTTATTATTATCATTAGTAGTAGTACTTTTTTTATTACAGCTTGATTCCACACCGTATTTTTGGCACAGGTATGGAGTTTTCAGCATGTGATATCGGTAGCCCAAATTTTGCAGACCGACCATAGATATCAGGTGTGCGTCGTCAGAGGATCGAACTACGGACCATGTGTATGATCGGCGAGAGTCCTAACCACCGACGCACCGACGAGCTCTAACGGAGACTTGGTGCACAAGTTTCCCAAAAAATATACCTCCAAGTAGTACTGGACAGCTATTTCGCCGTTGTTCGAAACTCTTCGGAGATAAACACTCATAGCCTTAAACTGGGATAGAACCCAAGACCTTCAAGATATGAGCCACTGTCCCATGACTTCTAACTTCTCTACTACCGGCGCATTTAAATCACTATTGCAATTTATTACCCACCATTCCATTTATTAATTCAGTCCCATACAATCCTTACCACCATAATACTGTTCCTAATATAACTATCATTTTGCTTATATTAGCTATCGTATAGTATTATTCATCAATTTCCCTGGAAAATGATTCATTAAACAGAAAATTTCTTTTGTTTTTACCTCTTTTGTTTATGGATTTCTAAGCATCACGTCTGAGGGAGACTATTATTTTCACTATTTTTCTCCTACTGTTCTTATATCAGAGTTATAGAACAGCAGATTTTCTCAAGCAGAACACTAAACTGTGAAAGGAAACAGTGTCTGGTAGAATACAGCTAAAACCACCAGGCTGAAGCGATTAGGCATATCTATTGATAAAGTAGGACATACTTAGAATAACTAAAGCATATTGTGATGGCTGTATATACAATAGATGTTCTGTCTACTTTCCTCCTAATCGTTGAAAATAATAACCAAATGAGAAGAAAGTTGGCAAAATAAATAAAATGATGGATAAAGGTAAAACAACATCGATTCATATGTATATTCATTATGCTAATAACCAATGGTATGAATCCTAGGGAGTCACGTGAACTATCGAATTCAGTCCAGAAATTTCCGGAATGACCTTCAAAAAAACTTGTAGTTGATTAGTTAATTATGTTAGTACAAATAAAGCGTAGGCGAATGAAAACGTGTCTATCTCTTTCATTTGATTGGTCTATATACAAGTCCATTATTTATTTCATGCAAAAAGTATAAATATGAAGATTTCTATTGCATTCGTTATTAACTGTCATTTTCTGTTCACATCTTCACGCTGGGATTGTCGATTGATATTTACATATTTGGTTCATCATGTCGAAAAATCAAAATCAGCAAAAATCTATTGATATTCCAGTGAATAAAGATACAAGAACATTTGAACAACATAGACGTGAAATGTTAACGGGATTACAGCATAGACATAGAGGTGGTAAACGTCAAAAACTTGGAATTACACCATATCGTGATACCTGGTCAGATGTGATAGATAATTGGGTTGATTCATCATGGAAAAGTTGGGATGATGAGATTCGTAGACTCAGGCGTGGAATGTTTGCGCTCCTGGTAAGTGTATAATTAATTGTACTATATTTGATGAAAAACTATCGTGTTGTGCGTAATGTTGTTTCTGTAGTCAGTTGTAGTACTTTTTAAAAATATAAATGCTAGTATTTGTACTACCCCACACGATTATTTTATTTTCCAAAAGTCGTTTAAATTCAATGAATATATGGTTTCATTACCTTGCTCTGATTGTACATTTCAAGATTACTAGTGTGTTCGTTTGAGAATCTATTCTCTAACCTTAGAGGTCATACTGGTCAACCATGTTCATGGTATAGGTTATTCTGACATCAGTTTTCACAAAGATAAGATTTCAGTGTGATTTTCTGTTTTTTCATTTCAGCCTCTTGATACTTTCCGTTTGAGAGAAGGTTTTCCAGATCCATTTGACTTGATGAATCATATGGAGCATGAAGTTGAAGAAATGCGTAATCGTATAGGCATGAGCAAGGCCCCAGTAACTGGTGCTTTGAGTGACTTTATGAAGGATGCCTATGAGCTTGGTGAAGATGGAAAGGTAAGTGAATTTCGTTTCACATTGCTTCATTTACACATCTTAAGATTGGTGATATGAATTTATTGTGATTTTACCGTCACTTATTGATTTTTCACTCTGTTTCCACATTACAGCTTCATTTCAAAGTGCATTTCGACGTAAAAGGTTTTGAACCTGATGATATCAAAGTTAATTCTACAGAGAATCGTGTGAATGTTCATGCCAAGAAGGTGACAGAGTCTGATTCTTCAAAGTCTTCTCGTGAATTCTGTCGTGTAATAGAACTTCCTCGTACAATTGATAATAGTCACTTACAATGTCGTCTAACAGATGTAAGTCATTAGATGCGTATATTTTAAACTTTACACATTGTGCGTACACTACCAATAATGACGTTAGCTAAGGATGTACTGTACATAATCTGTGCATAGAAATTCACTCAGCCTTTGTAGAGTACAGGTTAATGATTTTTACTTTGTTTAATCTAGGATGGTGTTTTGATGCTTGAGGCTCCAGTGAAATCTCCAGATTACGAGTCGATTACATTTACTGATAATCGTCAACTTGGTATTCATCCAAAGTCGACTGACCAGGTTCAGTCGAAACCACTTGTTGTGAAAGGTAAGTTAACTGTCAAATCACTGTGGGCAAGTTTCCGATTTAATTGACGAATTGACCCTGACCGTAGGTGGTAAAAATTGTGTATTCTTTTTTTGTATATTTACTCATTTCGAATAACTATCCCCTAGTCTTGACAGTCTACTTCGAAATTTATATTTTAGGTGTATCCGGTCCACTGATTTTAGAGGATGAAGGGAATAGAAAACTTCTACACGTTGAAGTCCCTGTGGATCCTATATATAAATCAGAAGATCTATGCATAAATGTTGACTCCAATCGAGTTGTTGTCTCTGGTCGATGTCATAAAACAGACGATAATCATTCAAACAAGAAAAGTAAAACATCATATGCAGAGTTTACTCATTCATATGAAATCCCAGAAACAGTTGATCCATTATCAGTGACAGCACAATTAATTGGAAATCGTTTGGTTTTGGAAGCGCCTCTGGTAAAACAACATACAATTGGACATTAATTAATTAATTTGTTATCCTAAATTGTTGACATATTTCTAGTCATGCATATGTGTGTGTGTGTGTGTGAAATATTTATAATAAAATAATTCTTTCTGTATTCAACGACTTTGTTTTGCTAAAACAGTTCACTTGTGAAAATGAAATAAGTGCATTATCTTCGCTTTTGTTATTTTCACTTAACGTAAAACGACGAAAAGACAGATTAAACACGTTTTAAAGTGGTCAAAATGAGAGCATAAAAACATTTTAAGATAATTAAGTATTTCATCGTGTTAGGTACTATATTATGTTTGAATATATTGAGAGAGTGTTAGATAAGGGGAGGAGAGAGTCAGTCTGTATGAGATTTTGTAGTGCGTCGATTTAGATGTCCAGGACATATGCTACGAATGTCATGTCATCGGCTTTTTTGCTAACTCCTTTAAAGCTGGTATAGGATGAGGTCGAAAAACAGTTGGAGGTAGTTAACTCAAAACATGTACCAAAACATGAAGCCTTCGACTTTTAATTCGAGCCACTTATGGATAGGTGTAGACTGCCTGACTGATTGGGGTCTTCTAGACACCAAGAACATGTTGGTACCATGGGTGAAAGTCATTCTCAGTATCGCAAGTTGACTTTCTCCTCGTAATCAATCATCACATTTTCGTTTATCATAATTTCTTAACCATTTCCTCTTTCTACTTTTATGTGTGATTTTATGAAGTGTGATAACTACTGTGCTTTTCTGCAAAGTTTTAGGTAGAATAACCAGTTTACTTAACTGCGGTGTCTAGATATCTAATATACCTAAGTGTTCTGTTTCGAAGCGTATCACGGCACAGACTTCAAGATTTATCCTTGTCCACAGGTATGTTTGATCACAAGACGATATCAGTTACACAGTCGTAGGGAAAGAATGGGGCACTGGACACCTGTTTCCTCCATTTTTTGGGACTCTTCAACAGTACACAATCACCTGAGTTCGATTCCTGAAGTGTACCTACTGATGAGAAGTCGCAAACTAGGACGAAACAACTGTCCAGTACTCCTCAGTCTCCGATGGCTCTGTAACTGATGTCATTTTATGATCAAATCTAATGAAACCGATCAAATCGGTGTAACAAACAACTGATAATTATCTTTGCTTCGTTTAAAAATTATATTTACTAAAAATAACTCTGATGTTAAACTGGTTTAAGTGTAGAAAAAGAAGAAACAGACATTCCAAACAGTTTTGCAGATATTTTTAGGTAGGGAAGTGAAACAATCTATAAAATTCTTGTAATATACATGCGTGCATGCATGCAGACACACGTATACGTCACAAATCGTTATGGTCAAAGGATAAGCAAAAGTAATAATGTAATTTACACTTTTGTGATTACGAATGCGCAAATGTTCAAAAAGATTGATGACCATATGTAATCTGTTCTATTTTAGTAAGTCAGAAGTATGCATGGAGATGTACAATTGAAGTTAATGTTAGGTAACATGTAAATCTTTAACTTTCTACAACACACAAAAGAGTAATAGAATGTTAAAACTTTAGAGGCATTAGTCTGGTTTATACTACTGACGAGATTTATAGATAGTAAATGGACACAGATGTAAATATGTGTGTCCTACGCAAGAATATTAAATTGCAGAAGCATGGATTTAGTGAACGACACGTCGGAAAAAAATATGAAAAAAATGAAGACAAAGAAGTACACAATACTGGTAATATGTGCCAGTTGTGATCTTAATAATATGGTAAACTTATTTTGCCTATATGTATATTTACAATTCGGCTAGCCAATAGTCTTGTCGGTACTAGTCGGTACGCTTTGTATTAGAGATTATTGGTTATTGTAATAAGCTGCTGGACAGACATTTTGTATATTGTAGATAAAAGCTGAATTGTCCTGAATCCAGTTTGAAGGGGGTCGGAATATTCAGGTTCATACCCTGTTGTTATTATTACCTCGGGTTCCAAATAGATTATTGGGCTTCAACAGGATCCTGTCCCTATTTATTTGGCTCCAAGATTGCCCATAACCTTTCTGCTCCTCCGTGTCACTTTCGGACTCACGTCCTACTCGTCGCTTTCTATTGGAGCTCCACTCGAGGGGCTGCTGTTCAGCGGTCTCCTTAGCATGTGTCTGATCCATTTACATTTCTTTCTGCATGTTTGTTGAGCAATAGGTCCCGAGTTGATTCACTTACTACAAGAGTCTCCCGTTGCTTATCCTTTCTGGCAATCTGATGTCCATTATGGAACCAGCAATGGCAGCTGTTAACTGAAGTCTGTATCTGGCTGTTGGAAATACTTTTAGTGACGCCTCGAGCATTTGAACCCTACATGCCCTGTTAGAGTCATGAGAAATAGTTTAAAAAGATTCGTGTATCTCTCTGCTAGTTCTTTTACTAATTAACAAGTGGGTAATATCTTGACGTCCCAGTCTCCAGAGTTGAGTGAGTTATTGTCGAAAATTGTTGTAAAAACACGAGATCTAATGATGAAGTAATTGGCTATGGTAATATTTTTGTGCAGTGAAGTTTCACTACCAGTGGGTTTGGCTTTCTACGGGTTAAGATTAATATCCTCACACCTAAACTTCCCTCATTTTTGGACTTAGAATAGACAATGTACTTTGGTGTTCTGAATGTAATTTCACATACTAGTGGGAACACTAATTGAATACCGTGTCGTGTGGCTTGATTACTTGGACTGTTTACGTATGCATCCGTAGATTTGTTTGATCCCCTTTTGTGTGTATTTCAAACTTTTCAAATGAATGAATACAACTTTGAAAGTATATTTAATTTATAAATTATCAGCTTTCGGTTACTACCTCAGCAATTCGAATGATGATGCATACAATCTTTGTCGAGTAATGTTAGGTGACGTATGATTAGTCTGGAAAAGAGTTAAGGGTGGTTATATGAAAATCAGGCGTCAGTCTGTGAAGTCGTTGACTGGTAATTTGAGCCAGTCACATAGGGAGGTGTAGACTACTTGGGTGGAGTCATCGAGACTCTAAGAACTCAATGGCTAGAGACTGTTGATGACACGCACACATGATATCTAAGGTCGGCCTGCAAAATTTGGGCTGCCGATATCCATGCTGAAAATTCCATACTTGTACCAAAAATACAGTGTGGAATCAAGCTGTAATCAAAAATAAAAGAAAAAAAAATCAATACTGATCACTGATTACTTCTGATCCCAGAGTGCAAGCAAATGAAAATAGAGAAAAAAATAGAGAACAGACTAGTCCGTGTTAATGAGAACAATTCAATCTTATTGTGAGGCCATAAAGTTTCAGCAGTGGGGGTGTTATTATTTTTTCACAGGGTCGGTCTTTTGCCTCACACCTAATCTTTCCTCTATAGTGAGCTTACTACCGACTAACTAACTAATAGAGACCATGATGAAATCCTGTAACCAATCAATCAAATCCCTACAGACCAACACTTGAATATCGATGAGATGCTCACTAGCGACTGGCCCTAATCAGGTAGGTAGTTACCTAGGTTCTAGTGGGAAGTGGTGACCAGTAAGGTACAACAGGCCGGGTGTGAAGACAAATAGTCTGCATGGATGATATTGGCTAGTGGTTGCGCTATTTCGTGAATTGGCAGAAGTTGGAATTCATGGCTCCCAGTGGCTGCATGGTCTACGAGCTCACCATGTAACCAGAAGGTCCTGGGTCAGAACCTTACAGTATGGGTGCGTATTGCTGAAGCAGCGTCCTGAACCAAGGTGACGAAACAGCTTTCCAAAACCCTCAAGTTTTCCAGTAGTTCTCTAACTGATGTGAACTAATGGTGAAATCCTGTAACTGATAGAGGTTTAGTAACGAGTCGGCTGAGAACCGAACTCCAGGCTACATTTGTGGTTGGCGAGAACTCTACTACTGAACCATTGACACCGTGGTTTCACCTATATCATCTACATGTTGAATTGCATTTTATGCCTGACCGATGACTTGATATCACAATCCCAGAAGAAATAGTGAAAGCAAATACATACCTTTATCTTTTCTTATCCTTATTTACGGAAGTTCCAGAAGTATGACTATAGCTGTTACTGTTCACCACGCATACACATACCGTAGGTTCCACTAACCAATACTGAAATATTTTTTTTTTTTCATTGTTTGTGTTTATCTTCCTTTTTACTTGGTATTTTTATTTGCATTTTTGTTATTTCTGTGTTTCTTTTTTTTGGTTTTTTGTTGTTTTTTTATATATTTTATTTTTTTTTATAATACTCCTTTTAAATGTACGATGAAATTAGATGCAATATTGTAGATATGTGCTGAAAATTCCACACTGTACCACAAGTACTGTTTCTGGAATAAAGCGAAATTGTTATGTTATGTTATGTTATGTTATGTTTAGTTGCTATCTTATCTTGAATTCACATAATCAAAACTCTTGATTTCATTAAGGAGGCTATCTTTACGAAACATACTTGAAGACGTTACTCATTTTGAAGCAATAGCATCGTGTATGCTATATAGATGCAGATTGATAGGAAGCGGCTAAAAGTGAAATCAACATTTTGAGTCAATGGTGACAGTGGTAGAACTGTCTGTTCCTCAAATCTGGGTTTAATTTATGTTGTGATAACGAAATAATCTCATTGGACACATTTTTATCCCTTTGTTTAACCTGGGCCAGTCACCAACCAGTCATAACAGCCTATTGTCCTCTGACCTAGCCAACTTCCAATGTGGTTAAAAATGTATCAATATAATGTGTTCTTACTTAGTAAAAATGTCAGTTTTTTGTAATTCCTTCAGGTTCCCAGTGGAACAGAGGGCTACAAGCTAGAGGCTTGAAGTTTCTATAGCAGTCATGTTTATTTTTACAGGATAGGGTTGTTAGCATCATGCCCAACCTTCCCTCTTTACCAGTCTTATTACTGACAAAGCGAGGTAAAGGAGTGTGTCGGCAGGGAATCGAACCATGTACCGCATGCGTAGTAAGTGAGCATTCTACCACTGTGCCACCGATTCACCAATTACCACTTCTGTTATCTTCTGCCGTTACAATAGTTGAAACTTCATACAGTGTCATGTATTAGAGTACAAGATACCACTAATTATCACTCACACTTGTAGGCAATGACA